CAGCAGGATGCAGGATGTGGTGGGGGCCGTGGTGAGTGGTGTGTGGTCATGTGTTTTTGTGTGTGTGTGTGAGAGAGAGAGAGAGAGAGAGAGAGTGTGTGTGTTATTATAAGAAGCAGCTCTGAGGCTTCGCTGTTCACATGGGAAGGCAGTGGGGAAAATGGGCATCCAGTTCAACTCAATACTGACCCCTTCAAATGAATCACTCTCATTTTCCTCTCATTACACAAGGCATCAGCAGACCCTCAGGATCAGGGCTGTGTGCAGAGCAGACACCTTCAAGTTTTTCAGAAGGGGGAGGAGTAGACAAATCCCCAAGGCAGATGGAGTAAAAATCTTTTTAAAAAATGTATTTGTAAAAATCGTTTTGAAGCACTTTATATGCTACAAACATATAAAAAGCCTTTATATTTGTCTTGGTAATCCTGGATTTGATTGGACTATGTGATGGTACAACCTTTAGCATTAAATGATTTGATAATGAAAATATGTTAGGGATTGATTGACATGCAGGTCAAGATTTCAGTTCAGCTTACTTATTATCATGCATTTACTGCCATCTTGTGGTGTAAAATAGAAATGGACACTCTGAATGGACACTATACATTGTAGATTGTGTAGATTATGATTTTTCTTGTCAAATTAATTAATTTATTTAAAAAAACATGTCAAGTAAGTTATAAGTTATTGTTGTTTATTCATTTAACTTTTTTAATTAATTATTTTTTAAATGGTATTTAAGACCCTTGGTATGCTTTTGGGTTTATTATAGGCCTAGTATTTCATAATTTCACAAATGATTGATAAACACTTTGAAGACTATATTTTATATGCAAATCTATATGACACAAACACCCAAAGCATCGAATGTCTAAACTTTTTCATTCATTTCATTTACCTGGGATTTGTAATTGATTATGATTACAAATATATTTAATACTAATTTAATAAAAAGTAATATTGTGGAATATTGAAAATAACTGTTTTCTATTTTAATATATTTTAAAATGCCATTTATTCAGTGTCTTTCTGCTCAGGCATGATTAAAAGCAGGTCTCTCAGCCAATGAGGTGGAGGAATTTCTGACTCTCTCCAAATCTCAGCCAATCAAAGACAAGCTGAAGAGTGTCACACGGGAAGCACTGGAGTATAAAGTGTGTGAATTTTACTTGTGTCCCTGCACACTCTTTCTTTGTGGTTAAAATATCATAAAACTTCCTTACATGGTTTTTCCCCATTTTTGCAGTGCTTTAGTCTTCCATTCATCGTGTGTCATGTGAATGGGAAGGCTGAGGTCTTCTTTGGTTCCGACAAATTTGAGCTCATGGCTTATTTCATTGGTAATTATAAACTAGGAATGTAGACAATTAACTGATTAACCAATTAACCAACAATTGATCTAATTTACACATTTTATTTACACATTTAGACTTTCCTTTTTATTTTTAGAAAGGCTATTCCAATTACTATCATGATAAAAAATAATAAACAATACAATTATTTAAAAAGCATTTATCTCTCGCAAGATAAGCAAGGTATGGTATGTTATTAATGCTTTGTTATTTAATCTTCTGTGCTAATTTGTGTCTACATTTTCCAGTCATAGTTTATATTTAGCTATATAATGACATGGATGTTGGAAAAACTGACTACAGGTTTAAGATTTAAAAAAACAGAAGTCATGGACAACTGAAAAGCACGGGTGAATGGGGGTAAATAGCGGTTCTGTTTATTAAAAGTCCGATTTTTTAATTATATTTTTATATTTACCATACAATTTTCTTGATGATTTGTTGTGCATGTTTAAGTCATAAAATCTTTGGTGATGTACTGTTCATTGTCCAGTCTGTCTTTCTTTTGTGTTCCAGGGGAGAAGTGGATGGGGCCGTACCCTAACAAGCCCACAGCCACAATGTGATCACTACTCCTCCATACTCAATATCCATATACAACAGCAAGCACACACACAAACGCAGAGATTTACATTTAAAGGGGAAATGTAATAAAATTTTCACTTTTTAGGTGTTTTTTTTTTTTTGTTTGTTTTGTTTTTTTTGCATTTAGTTAGGTTTCTGGTGTGTCTGCCAGCTCGGAAAAGCTAAAAAGAAAACAAGCAGCCAGTTTGTTGAGTCTGAAACTGTGTCATCCAGTGAGAAATTTCGATTTGCAGCAAGTTTCTATGTAGCTAATTGAATAAGACCACCTCCGAGCCACATGTTACAGACACTTCATGAAGGCCCTAAAGAATCACCAACTTGTGGAAAATGGTGTGGCATTCGTTGGCAGCTGCCACCCTAAGAAAATACTTTGCCCATCTGCCACCTCAGAATTATGCAGAACTAGTCTGTGTTTATTGTGTTCATGAATAAAGGAACAAGGAAAAATAGATCTATTTTGTTGTCATTTGTTAAGAAAATTTTAACAAAAGATAATAATGCTTGTTTTGATGGCTCGCTCATTTGCTGCCACCTACTGGCGTAAATGTAACATCAATGAAGAAATCAGAATCTGAAATCCTTTTTTTGGTCTGAATCAAATGACTGGAGTCACTGAAAATCAACAACGAGAATCTTAACTACAGGGCTGTTACGATTCCTCGATTAAATTCGTGTAACTTACTCCAGTATATATAAGTGGCGCATTCCACTGACGAGAATTCATGAACCGCATTATAAAAATCATAATAAAGCATAGTGGCCTAATGGTTAGAGAGTCAGACTCGTAACCCACAGGTTGTGGGTTCGAGTCTCGTACCGGCAGAAACATATAAAAAGCCTTTATATTTGTCTTGGTAATCCTGGATTTGATTGGACTATGTGATGGTACAACCTTTAGCATTAAATGATTTGATAATGAAAATATGTTAGGGATTGATTGACATGCAGGTCAAGATTTCAGTTCAGCTTACTTATTATCATGCATTTACTGCCATCTTGTGGTGTAAAATAGAAATGGACACTCTGAATGGACACTATACATTGTAGATTGTGTAGATTATGATTTTTCTTGTCAAATTAATTAATTTATTTAAAAAAACATGTCAAGTAAGTTATAAGTTATTGTTGTTTATTCATTTAACTTTTTTAATTAATTATTTTTTAAATGGTATTTAAGACCCTTGGTATGCTTTTGGGTTTATTATAGGCCTAGTATTTCATAATTTCACAAATGATTGATAAACACTTTGAAGACTATATTTTATATGCAAATCTATATGACACAAACACCCAAAGCATCGAATGTCTAAACTTTTTCATTCATTTCATTTACCTGGGATTTGTAATTGATTATGATTACAAATATATTTAATACTAATTTAATAAAAAGTAATATTGTGGAATATTGAAAATAACTGTTTTCTATTTTAATATATTTTAAAATGCCATTTATTCCTGTAATTGCAAAAGTGAATTTTCAGCAGCCATTATTCCAGTCTGCAGTGTTACACTAAAGATTAATAGTGGGTTTGCATACCACCTCATATTATGTAACATAGTCACATGACACTACGGTATAGTAGGTGGCAGATATATACCATAAACTGACCTGACAATCGCCATTAAACTGAATCAGAAGAAGAAATAGAACCTGAAAGAGGAGCAGAGGACGACGCCAGGTAAGTTGCAAAAATGCTTGTAAATTATATTATTTTAAAATATATTAGAACGTTTTTTTCCAGCTGAGAATACTGTAACCATGACAATAGTAAACACAGCTGGTAAAGTCACAGCACATCAGCCAGGATTCTCGCTTCCATTTCATATCAAGCACCTATAGAAATCACATTCCAGTACGTGAATTTCACATACCAACAATAACATTTAGGCAACCTTTCTTTAGGATCAATATCTTAATCTTAATGCTTGGTCAATATTTTTAGGTCAACTACGGAGACAAAAATCATGGCAAATATATTTGCACAAAAAAAAAAAAGCTGCATTTAACTTCAAACTTTTCTTTTTTTCTGACATATTTCATATTTCTTCAATATATCTCTATCTTTGCAATATGTGTTTGTACATATTTATGCAATATTCCTTTGTATCTGCATAAGTATGGGTCTAAAGTTTCACTTTTCTTAGTATTTCATTATCTGAATTTGATACCAAACAATTGCATAATACTCTCACTATCTGCCCTATAAATATAATGACACAAATAGTACAAGCAGCATGCTAGTATGCGATTCGGATGTCAGCCAAGGGGATGGGTTTGGCACATGCCTACCTATAATTTGTACCAGATTCTGGCAGACCAACACAGTTTTGAGTCACAGCAATCAAGATTTGAACACTTGGAAATATGCATGGTTATTGCCCTTATAACAAGCTAAAGGAAAGCCCAACTTTTTTATTATTATTAAAGTAGAAAGGAAACATTATATTGAGTTACTTCTTGGTTTAAAAAAAAAACAACAACATTAAAGCAAAACACCTCTGTGAAGCTTTTAAGTTATTTATATGATGATCTATTACAGATGTTCAGTTCCAGAAAAATGATTAAGCTCTTTTATGATGTTGCCTCTCCTTATTCCTGGCTGGCATTTGAGGTGTGTAATGTTTTCCGCTTTTAGTATTTATTGCCATGCCATCAGTGCTAATGCAGTGTCAATATCATGTATGTGTTGATTTTGTGTATTCAGGTGCTGTGTCGCTATAGAAATGTTTGGAACGTCGACCTCAAATTCAAACCAACATATTTAGGAGTCATATACGGGTCAGGTAATGACATGATCACAACTAATCTAAATGCATATGTCACATTAACAGTCATAGCTTTTTAGATATTCCAGACGGTAAATGTATCTCTTATAATTATTTAATCATTTTGTTTTATGAGTACATATGTACTAAATGTGAAGCTCTACTTAATAATCTTGTAACTGCGAAAGTATAATTTGTAACGTACAGTAGTCAACTACAGTATATGTGGCAATTTGTATTATTTATAGATGAGAAACCCATATCAAGTTTGCTCTTTTCTTAGGCAACAAGCCCCCTGGATTGAACCCTAGTAAACTTATATACATGGACTCAGATCTGACACTGCTGTCTGAATATTTTGGAGTCCCTATGTTTCGACCTTCAAGGTATAATCAAGCAACCGTTTTTCTTTCTTCTTATGACTAGATTTATAATGTGCAATGCA